GAACTTCAGTTCTCATTGAAAGGCCATTTGTAAGTGGAAATACCAGAAGGACTTGCTTAAAAATTCTCATCTGCATCTCCAGAAGTCCTCAATAGGTTCCTGGGGATAATTGCCCATAGTCAGTAGTGACTCAAGTCTCAAGGCAGATATCCAAGACACAGCCCTTTCCCTCCGGGACTTTAGAGCTTGACCTACAACATGGCACAGTTTTCTTTACAGGAGTACTCATAGATATGTAGATACGTAGAGCTTGGAATTGCCAGAGAAACCTACCAGACACACTGAGCATCCTTTATACTGTACCCCTAGCAGAGGTGTGGTATCACATGTGGAGCTGTAGGTATACAGTGTGGAGCTCAGACAGATTCTGGGCTGAGGGTGGAAATTTGAGTCCTCTGCCCATAAATGATAATTGCAGAGACACTTCTGGAGGAAGTGAGTGGGAAAGAGTATAAACAAGAATGCCCAGAGCTGAGCCTTGGACCTCAAATTTTGAAGGTTAGGTGGAAGAGGTGAAGCCTTGTTACAGGATAGAGGAATATCAGCAGTTACTTAGATACTGTTTTACTTTGAAAGAAGTGGAATAGAAGAAAAACAGGAGACAAAATAACCAAAACCCTTCTGAGTTGGGAGTATGTGATACACTCTGTGGCTTATCTGTTTCATAGGAGAGGAGAGTCTTTTATAATTTGTCACTAATACAGTTTGCTCATCCATTTGATTGTTTGGGTTATTTCATTTATTCAACATCTGTTGACACTAAGCAATTAGGCATGATTTCTTACTCTTTTTCCCATGTGTTTTAGTGTGTGACATACACAAAATAACTACACAAAATAAGATGTAGTTTCATTATTTACACCCTTCACTTGTTAATGAAGTTGATAATTCTCCTAAAGATAAACACATCAAATTGTTTAATTGACTTAGAGAACCTGTGAGTTGTGGTGTTAAATGTGTTGGTCCACAACTTAAAAATACCTCGGGGATTCTTTAAAATGTAAGAGCACTGCAGTAGCCATCTTGCTTAGTATTAAGTAGCAGTCAGTGTCTCATGATGAGCCCTGGTGGCACAGTGGTTAAAGCGCTTGGCTGCTAAGCGAAAGGTCGAGTGGTTCAAACCTACCAGCCACAGCCACTCCAAGGGAGAAATATGTGGTGGTCTGCTTCTGTAAGGATTACAGTCTAGGAAACCCTAAGGGGCAGTTCTACTCTGTCCTATAAGGTTGCTGTGGGTCAGAGTTGACGGCAATGGATTTAGTTTATTTTTTAATTATTTTTATTTTTTTTATATCTCATGGGAGGTTAGGGTGCTGTTAAATTAAGAAATAGGTCTGCTTCATTATGATAACCTCAACTGAATTTTCTTTCCTTTTCTTCTTGTGAAGAAAACTTTATATTAATAGGAACTTTTGAAAAAAGTACACAGCTCTTTATACATAGTAGTTCTCTTAAGTTATAAGCCTCTGACTGCACGGATCTTCCCAAATCAACTACATGTAAAGTCATAGAATTATGACTGCAGATAGGAAAGAAGTAATTGAAATTTCAAAGCGCAGAAATCTTGTTACCATGCAAATGTCTTTTCTTATTCTTCTGGAGTTTTTATTTCTAATATATAGGTATAGCATACTGAAAATAGGATAAGAATAAAATTGAATTGTTAATACAAATACGTTTTTGTATGTAGTCTTCCATTTGGTTCATTCACTGAGGATATTGAATCCTGCTGTTCACTTTGTGCCATGCTAGGTAGGTAATGGTGGGTTGGGAAGCTCAGAAAAATTGAAAGTCATTGTCTCTTGTCTGAAGGGTTACAGTCTATTTAGATCCAAGAGAAATATGGAATCAGGCCATTAAAATACAGAATATCTTTCAATGTCTATTGCCAAAGCCCTAACTAGGTCCCATCTCTTTTCCTTTGAATTCTTAGCATTTTGTGCCTCTCTTAAGCCATATATTAATTTGGTTTATAAGAACTACCCAGGTATAAACCCCTTAGGAAAGAGTTTGTATGTCAAAGTCAACTTTATATCCTTTACATGTCTGGTGCATGGTATGGAAGGAAAGATTTCAGAAAAGGTAGTGTGGTCAGTGTTATTTCAAAGAGATTAGGGAGAATGAGAACCAAAAATGCTTTGGAGATCAGTTTTAGTAGAGTGATGGGAGTTAAGGCTGGGAAGGTAAGAAGATGGGGTTAGCTGGTATACAAAAAAAACCCACCCACCAACCAAACCACTGCTGTCGAGTTGATTCCTGCTCATAGCAACCCCCATTGGGTTTCCATGATGGTAAATCTTTACAGAAGTAGATTTGCCCTGTCTTCCTTCCAAGGAGTGTCTGGTGGGTTTGAACCCCCAACCCTCTGGTTAGCAGTCAGATGCCTTAGGCACCGCACCACCAGAGCTCCTTAGCTGATATGTTGATGTTGTTGTTATGTGCCATAAAGTCGGACCCGTCAAGTTGGCCCGACTTGTAGCAACCCTTCCTTGGTTTTCCGAGGCAGTATCACTATGGAAGTAGATTGCCCCATAGTGCATATATTTAAGAACTCTTATCTATACAAGGGGAGCTCTGGTGATGTAGTTCCTAAGGCATTTGACTGCTAACCACAGGGCTGGCGGTTCATATACTTCCATAGAGAAACTGCTTCAGAAACCCAAGGAGGGGTCGCTATGAGTTGAATCAACTCCACGGCAGTGAGATTTGTTTTTTTTTTTAAATCTGTATAAGAATGGAAGTAGCTGAGGCAGAAGGAAGATGGGCTGAAGGCTTAAAAGAAAATTGTTTATTTTTTAGGTTGAAGGAGAAATTAGAGATTACCTGTGCATGTTTGAATGCATGTGGATGATGAACCATCCAGTTGCTGTTGAGTCAACTTAGATTCATGGCAACCCCCTAGAGTGTTCATAGAGTTTTCAGTGAACCTCTGGGTGGAGTTCATCCAATTTTTGATTAGCAGCCGACCACGTTAACTGTTTGCACCACCCAGGGACTTCTGGAAAAAGGAAGGCGATTATAAAAATTAGAGTAGGGTTCTTTAAGGGACAGGAAAGATATGGAAGGTAGGGGCAAACAGATAGCTAGGGCCAACATATCTTAAGAAGAAATAACGACTGTAGGAGATCTTTCCCCCAGCCTGGAGTGGGGGATACGATTATGGGTAAAGACGTGTGAATGTGTTCAGGTGCTGAAAAGAATCACACCATTTAGCTCTGGTAAGGTTAATGGGATTGTTTTGAATAGCCATTATTCATTTGTTAACTCTTGGAACATGTAATATGTCACTTTGGTAGAGATACAAAGATGAAGAAGCTACCAAATGAATGTATAGAGATAATTTTGTATATCTCTGTGTCTTTCTGCAATGATTATTTATAACTTGAGAGCAGGCAAGGAGGAGCAGACTGTGAGGCCTATCTACGGTTATAGGTTGACATCTGTGAATGTCTAGGAGCCAACAGATTTAGGGTAGTGTGAAGATAGTTGTGAAGTAGTTGAGTCTGCAGTGTGGGTTTTGTGGGCAATCCAGGAGCTAATTGACTGGATATAGTCCTTTCAAGGTGGATGGTGACCTGAAACTGAAGATTTGGCCTGGGTGACAATGTAAAAGATAGAGGAAGGGTATTGTGATAGGAAGAGGAGGAGGCAAGATGACACTATTGATAGATTCAGAGCTTATAATGAAGTAGAATTCAACTCTTGATGGGGAAAGAAGAGGGTAGATTTGATAGGTCAAATAATGAACAGCATTACAACACCAAGTACAGTGTCAAAGAGATTGTGTTATTTAATTGCCAGATTCACAGAAGTGACTGGTGCATCACAAGTCATTTTTCTAGCAGTGTGTTCTATGTAGTGTAATAGAAAGATCAGGTATTGCAAGTTTTAAAAAAGTAATGGTCTTTATAATGTCACTGAGCACCATTTTCAGTATCTTGAGAGTAATGTGAGTGTGTACTGTTTTAGCACTCTTTCTGAAAGCTTGAGTTCATTTTAATGTTCATATATATTAAAGTGTGCAGTGTGATACTTTTGATCTTTAAGAAATGTGGAAAACTTTTATTGATAATGTGTTATGTTTACAGAGGTAATCGGATGATAATGATAAAAATACCTAAAGGTCTTTAGGGTTAGTGTAATAAACCAAGCACAAAAAATGTTCATCTTTTAACAGTGTTACTTCCTCTGTTTGCTTTTCTACACTTCCTCTGAGTGTAGTGACTTGATGTATGTTTATTAGTAAGTACCATTACTTTCTTAGGATTACCAAGTGTAGCAGAAATTTTGCTAAATTAGAGGTTTTGGTTTCTGTCTCCTTCTCCAATCTTAGTCTACAGACTGCCAACCTGATGCTTCCTGTTTATAGTTGCTTAAAGAACAAAATGGTCAACTTTCTGTGAGCTGAAAGAATGACTGTATTTTTCACAAGACATCAGTGAAATAGAAATGGTTACTTAACAATATCCAGAAACAAATGTTTCCTTATGGGAAACTATGGGTTCTTAGGGGCAAGGTGACCAGATGTCTTGGTTGTCTGGGACACTCCTGGTTTGTGCCTGTTGTCCCAGTATCCCTTTACTCTCAGAAATTTCTTCCTTTGCACTAGACATTACAAGGTCATTCTGATTGCACTTTGAATCCTTAGGTAAAGATACATCTTAGTGGTTGTAAGGAGAAGGCAGTGGTTGGCTTTGAACATAGGAGGCTTAGAGATGATTGAACAAAGTTGCTCCTTCCTCTTACTTCATAGAATTTACATTATGGAAAGTGTTACAACTTGTACCAAATTTGGTAGTTGCCATTGAAATGCAGCAGGTGGGTTGCAATGCAGTATTTAACCAGAGGGTAAGAGCTTTTCAAATGGTCACGGCCTTACTAAATGGTGCTTTGAGAAAGACAGAAATATGGTAGTATTGGGCCTTGGATTTATGAAATGTTGGGCATGAAATGTTGATCTAACAGTAACCTAAGCCTTGATGTTTCCTGTTTTCAAACAGCACCAATATTCTGAGGGAGCCTGTGTGCTTAGGAGGATGTGAGCACATCTTCTGTAGGTAAGTCATTATGGTTTGATACATTCAGTATCACTATTTTATTAGAGAGTAATCATATAATTATATAGAAAATAATAGTACTTTATGTTTGTGTAACTTTCATAGTCTTCAGAGTAACTCACTTCAGCATTTTGATCTTTATAGTTGTCTTAGTTTACAAATCATAGGGGAATCAGAGCCCAAATATAATTTGTCCAAGGTTACAAAGCTTAGTAATAGCTTTGCTAAGCTTGGGGGGAAAAATAATGTCTTTTATATAATTTAAATATACCTTTTTTTTTTTTACCTTCCAGTTAGTTTTGAATCTAGTCTTTCAAAATCAAGAAAGCTTACTTCTTAAAATGATGATGAAATTAGCCATGTTCTAATGTGAAAGCCTTGGCTTATGGGTTAGAAGATTAGACTTTATCTCATCCTGTTTCTTGTTCAGGAGAAATCTGTTGAGGGACTGAATGTCTTAGTTTAATTCTGAAATGGGTAATATGCATTCTTTTGAATCAATTTTTAAATTATTTCAAGATAATGAGCATGTGACTGTCATATGTGAGTAAACATTCTGATGTTTGAGCATGTTGTTGTTGTTGTTATATGCCATCGAGTCGGACCCGACTCATAGCGACCCCTCCTTGGGTTTCCAAGGCAGTATCACTACGGAAGTAGATTGCTCCATACATGCATATAATTTAGTATGTGACGTAAGTGGGCTGGTGACATGTGGAAGGCACTTTGCTTGGGGGTCCCAGTCCTGTTTCTAGAAACAGATTTTTTTATGGGCACAACTGGCAGGAGGATTGGATAGAACGTTGCACTTGTTGCTGACTTGATATCTCCATTTGGACTGTAAGGAAAAGCATTTCAGACTTGGCATGTTCAGGCTCTGGATCTCCCCCTCAGCATACTCCTGCCTCATTGACCTTCATCACAATAAATAGTACCACTGACTGCAAAGTTGCTCAGAGCAAAAAAACCCCACGTCATTGATTGCTCTTTTTCTTCACTATCCTTCATCATTAAGTTCTGTCAGTTCTCCCTCAAAAATTTCCCTCTTTCTCAATTTTTCCCACTTTTCTTTATAATTATTACTGTTTATACTTGGTTCAAGCCCCCATC